ACCAGTGTGTCCTACATAATTAGGCCTTAGTTTCCTCACGTGTAGTTTGTAATCTATGTATAGATTATAATCTTTCAGCCTTACAGTCCTTTGAGTCCCTACCAGGTCTTTGATTCCGTTACCTCATTTCTAAACCCCCATTCACTGGTGAGCCCTAGGCTGGTGCTGAGCAGTTGCTCCAGTTAGAAAACGTAGATGATTCTTGTTATTTAGAAATCCTGGAATCGAATCACTTAATAGCATTTATTTGAACATCACTAGTCAAAATTTGAACACAAAATCTGCCATCAGATCTTGCTAAATGAGTAAATAACATTGGCATATAGTAGGTCTTAAAGAAGCTTCATTCCTTCTTTTAATTCAGTAGGTCTGTCTTCGCTTAAGAGTTCCTGAGCGGTGCAGATGGTTAACATGCTCAACTGCTAACTGAAAGGTTGGAGGTTCGAGTCCACCTACAGGTGCCTTGGAGGAAAACCCTGCCCATCTACTTCTGAAAAGTCAGCTATTGAAAATCCTACGAAGCACAGTTCTATTCTGACATACCTTGGGTCACCATGAGTCAGCATTTACTCCATGGCAACTGGTGGTGGTGGTGGTGGATCTTGGCTTATCTAGATAGTTTGGACTGAGCCCCAAACCTTACAGGCAAAATTCTGAGAATTAAGTGGGAATGATTGGAGAAAAACCCACCAGATACAATAGCAGAAGATAATTCTCCACCTCCGAGCCCTGTCTTGGCTATATTATCAATTCTTGATAGCTAAACTCTAAATGTTGGGTCCAGATATCAAGTAATGCATTTTCATTAGAATGCATATGGATATGTCTACATATTTAACATACTTACCATAGTTTGAATTTCTATTTTTTGTGCTAAATCAAATAGAGTATATTAAACTACACTATGATTTATTACAGTATAACAAAAAATCCGGGGTTTTTTGGGGGAATGAAGTCTACTACATTTGCTGTACTTAAAGTCATCAGGTATGACTTTCTCCGGATGTTTAGAATAATCTTTTTACGCTAGCCTCATTTCTGCCACAATGGGTAGAATTTGAATATTATCAATGTTTTTCTTTTTCATAATGTTTCCAACAGCCTTTAATCCTTTCAAAGACCCTATACTCAGATCTTTTCCTCAGAGCCCTATATTTAGTTACATGGTAAGCCACAGTAATAGCTTACACATAAAAGCTAAGTCTTCTTAATGTGCTGCCCTCTGCAAATTTGCAAAATCTTTCAGCCTATTTATTTATTTGTTTATTGTTGTAGTTTAAATGAAGTTTACATTTCAAGTTAGTCGATGTTTTTCTAATGAAAATAATTTACATCTTGAGGATGTAATTTAAATTTGCATATCAAACATGTCTCAAATTTACTTGTCTGTTTCAGTTCAATTTGCCCAACAAATCAATAGTTTGAGAACCAACAGTAGCATTAATGTCTTCAGTAGAAAACAAATTTAATTAATGAAAGATTAAAAGTAAACTTGAAAATGATATAAGAAATGATTTGCTCATATTCATGTATAGATATGTTGCTGCTTCATAGAGGACACATAGAATGTAGCAGTCATTAGCATTGCTGGAATTCATTTTTAGAGAAATATGGCTTCACTTGAGTGTTTAACATACATGTTGCATAGCTTTTTCTCTATTCAGTATATTGAACATTTATATGGACTGATTCTAATGTCTGTTAAGTGATAATGCCTGAATTCTTATAGGACATGATCAGTTAAAAAATAGGATAGTCAGTGTGTTCGTGGAATTTGTCTCTTAGACTCCAACTATATCTCTGAAAAGTATTGAGCAGAATTGTTATCAGTTTTTAAAACTAGAGTCAGGTGATAAAAAAATTGAGTGTATTCAGATCAAATCTAGTTTTACTTTTTCCCTTACATTTAAAAAATGTTGACATTTGCTTTATTTTCAAGTAGTAAGATGGAAGATTTTGTGGTATAGTGTCTGTTCTGTGTGGCATTTAACCACATGAGTTAGAGTTTAAAGGCTTACATAGCATTAATGGTATAAAACATAATTCTTCCCTGCCTCCTGAAAATTTCCAGAAGAAACTCTTTGAGAACCAATAGCAGAGTCCTTTCACAGTGGCCTATAAATAAGTCTATAATAAATATTTCTGGTGTTTTAGTCTCTTGACCAGTTCTGGAGTTTTTCAATCAGAATTCAGCTGAATACAGACATAATTGTGACGAAGTGAGCAGGTTTTATATAACAGTATTGTTAAATCCTGCTAAAACTTAATAATGATAGGAAAACACAGATTAATATCTGGGTAATTTCAGTTGCATATGTCAATAGAGACAATCTTTAATTCAGCATATACTCCCCCTCACATATTCTCTTCCCTCTTTTCCCCACCCCCATCCCTCTCCAATACAAAACTACTACTGTTGGGTTTTGGAGGGGGAGGAAGGAGTCATAGGTGAAGACAGCTGGATCATGGACTTGTCCTTTGTGACTTTATATTTTCATTCTTTTGCTACTGAGGAAAGATGAAGCAGGCACATTTCAAAAGAACAGCTGACACTAACCATACAAAGTCAGTAGTTACATCATTCACTATAATTCTTTGGTGTTTGTGGTCTTCTTTACATGTATGTGGCAGAGGTCCAGTTTGTATGAGTAGAGAGGGAAAAGTCAAAGTGGGTGAATGTAGTTGGGAATGTGCCAAGTGTGCATACCAAAGCAGCTCCTTATCCTCTTCTTCCTGTGCTGTGTAAGCCAGTGGATCCTTACTTGATTGAAGTAGGATAACTGTTAACTTACACAGCTAGGTTACATTGTGAACAGTGAGAACCTTATTGTCTTTAAGCTTGACAATGCTGTTATTTCGTGCAGGCCAGTTTACTACCATGTCTGGAGAGTTACAGTGCGTTTTGGGATCATGGGGCAAGGAAATGACTAGAGAGATCCTTTTCTTGGTAACACTTTGTTATTGGCTTTGTTATTGTTATTGCCCAGAAAGGAGAAGTCTAGGAGATTTTTTTTAAAGCTTGTGTATCATTTGTATGGCTAACATATATTTTCTTTTTATATATAAACAAACTTAAATTGGAGAAAAGGTTATTATTGACTCTGTATGTTTTTTATATACGTGTGTGTGTGTGCGCACGTGCGGGTGTGCAGGTGTGTGTATGTGTATATGTATATATGTACATGTGTACAGTGAAACCTGTGAGAGTTGGAACTCGCCAGGATTGTCTTGTTTTTTTCCGGGTCTTGCAAGTTTTCCACCGTTGACAGAGTGTAGTGTTACCACTTTTCTGTCACTCATTTTAGTGGAAAATATTTTAGTTTTCCTTCTCTGACAGGTTTCTGCCTTACACAGCTTCTGGCTTTTGCAGGTTTTACTTTATTATATATATGTAAACTTCAGTCATTTGTCACTGTTCTCTTCTCTGTACCTTCTGTTCTTCAAGCCTCAGAATTGTAATCACTGTTGTGAAAACATTTTCCTATAGGTGGAGAACATCAGGTCTTTTGAAATGTAGCATCTTTAAGGTTTTGTTTCATTTTTGTTTGGTTGGTTGGTTTTTGGGTCAACAGAAAAAATATTTTAAGTTTAAGGACTAAAATCAAACTTTCAAATTCTTCACAATAAATTAGCTATATTCTGATATATACAGTGTACACTAAAGAGCAACTCAATGCTAGATATTCTGAATCCTGAGCACTTCTATCACAATCATTTGGAGTATTTGGTTATTTCAGAGGTGTCCTGCCTAATGAAGTAAAATTAATGGAAGATGGGTTGTGTATGCCAACAAAGACCTCTTCGTTTTGGATGTTTTTGTGGGGCATGTATAAATGGCTTGAAATCTCTGATCATTTTTACATGGGATCACTATACCAAATAAAGATTGGACTTTCAGGTGGCCTCAGTTATTTAAATTGGTGTTTTTCAAAGTGCAGGATGACCTCCAATAACATAAATGTTTTCTGAAAACATTTTCCTTAAGTTTCAGTTTGTAGTCAAATATATTTGACTTACTGGAAGATAAATGCTAATTAGCAGGATTTTTTTTTAATGTTCCTAGCACCAAATCTGAAGAAGGAAATACCCAAATTTTACCAGTGTGCTTGCCTCTTCATTTGTTAATTCTTGCAAACGTCAGATGCTACAGTAACATTTTTGTTTTGGATTTAATTAAATCAGTAAATCTTTGTGTTCCAATATGCATAGCATTTCTTAAAAGCTGTGAACAGTATTTTAAGAAGAAATATGTGTAACATTGAAGCCTGACTTTGTATCTGAAGTTGTATTTAAAACAAGCAATTGTGGTTTTAGTTTAATGTATTCTAACCTAGCCAGTGCAGGCCAGGTAGAGGAAGCTAACCTCTTGTAACACTATTAACAGCTTGCAGATTTCCTGGAATGTGACCAAAAATGGAGAAAAATCATACTGCTTGTATTTAGTGTTTGTTCGTTTGGCCAGCATTATGCAGTTCAACTTAGTGTAAATAAGCAGCTTTAAAAATATATGCTTTCTTTCAACGGCTCCAAGACTGTTACCCAGTGAACAACAAACAATACTGTATCAAATTTTTTTAATTAGGCATCTTTACTTCAGCTAATTTTAAACATTTTGTGTCACACAACCACTTATCTGTTGCTACTGATCCCACTCTTTTCTCCATCTGATTATTCCATTTAACTTGTACTTTGTTTTAAAGGGGCTTCAGTAGTGGATTTCATTTTAACTTAGGAGTCGTGCAGGGTGCTCCAGAAAAGGGGGAGAAATAGAAAAATTTGAAATCTCTAACTCTGTGAAAATTAAGGGCCTTGTTACTACACATCATTCTGTTTATCAGTTATATCTGATTTGTTAGTATCTACAGCAGCATTGCAAATGATTATTAATTTTTCGATTATTTTTATCCATACTCTCTATCAGTATAATATACACTGTATTTGTTAATGTTATATGAGTTTTCCTCTAATTTTTTGTGCATTTTCCCCCCTTTTCCATGAAGGCCTTATCTGTTTGGAGCAGGCTGTTTTTCCATAAAAACTCCATGGTGAGTCCCAGTTCAGTCCCGCATGCCTAATTCATTTGCTGTACTCAAAACGTAACTCTGGTTTGTAGTTTTGTTTTCAGTTGCATGGCCTGATCACAGATAGATGCACTGAATTACTGAATAATTTGTAGGTGGGACATGAATGTTGATGTTTAAGCTTTAGGAAAACAATTTTCTTGGTTTTACCTCCTGCTTCAAAAAGTAAAAAAAAAAAAAAAAAAAAAATCACAGACCAATGATTAAAAAAAAAGAAAACAGAAGAATCCCCTCATGATGCTGATGTATGTGACCAGACAACGCTAACACCTAAGTTTAAAGTAATGAGTATTACACTGATAGACTATCCATACATATCATGCTGTACATTTGAGGAAAGTATTATTTCAAAATATAAGCATGTTTAAGATATACCAAAAATGCCCTATTAAAAAGTCTTGCTGCATTTTCTTTGGCTCCAAAGGGAAAACAGTTCTATTTTGAATAGCTTAGGTATTTAAGGAGCTACCTACTAAGGAAATTTATATTTCACATAAAAATTCTTAAATAATTTGATTTTCAATTATTAGCACCAATTCACGATAACTTATTTATTTAGTAAATTATTTTATAACAATGCATAGCTATAGTTTTGTTAGTCTTAAACATGATTATACTAAACAGTATATTTAAAACTTTTATGTAAAGATGTGATGTTAAATGTATAAGAACCTGGTTTGTTATGTCTAACGTAATGGTTAAGAGTCTGGGCACTGGTATCAGACTGCCTGGGTTTCAAATCCAGTTGACACATTTACTAGCTATATGATCTTTGGGAATTTTCTAAGATTCTTTTTGTTTCTTAAGCAGAGTTAGTAGTAGCATCTGCCTTGTGGGTTCATTGTAATAATTAAATGAATATATATGTAGATGCATCTAAATTGCTTAGAACAGCATCTAGCATGTAATGTTCAATAAATGTTAACTAATACTGTTATCACTTTTTCTGTTTATAGGAAAAATTATACCATTTTTGAAAAAAATCTTTAATTTAGATCATGGTTTTTTCTTAAGAGTATCTGAGCCAGAAGAACGTTTTAGACAATGTAAAATTTATCAATTTTACACATTTAGTCAGAATACTTAAGAGTTCTGCACTTACATGTGTAGCTCTCCCAAGTGCTACTGGGGATTGTTCACACTGTGCTGCTCTGCTATGAAAAAGAAACCACCAATTTTTTCTGTCTCAGACAAAAAGAAGCTTAAATAGTTCTTTAAAGTAGATTATATTTTGACAGTGTTCACATGCTGCAGGAACATCTGAAAATTTCATTATTGTTTAAAAATAGAGTATCATAAAACAAATCAACATAGAAGTTTCCTTCTTGAAAAGGCAGCATCATAACTAGGACACATATTGCAAAACTGTTTTAAACAAATTCAGGGTATAAATGAGTATAAATTCCATGAAAAGCAATTTAATCTTTATAGTTTTTTTGTTAGGCAGATTTCTACCAAATAAAACAAATAAGATACACGGATCTTACTTATGAGCTTACAGTGAGGGGTCGATTTTTAAATGACACATTCAACATATGACAACATTTCTTTGTAGACTATATTTAGGATAAATTAGACAAAATTAGGATAAATTCCTTAATCTAAGTACAAAGAAAGGAGTATTAGTATGTTAACAAAGATTGAAGTTTTAGCATGGAAATAAAGATGGAGTAACAAATGTCGTATGTTAAATGAGAAAAGTCCATTCCTTCAACAGCTTATGTACTCCTTAAATTTAAGCAAAAGCACTTGTCAGCTAGAAATGATTTGAGGTTGAAACAAGATTAAAAGAACCAGATTAAAGAAAGGGATATATGAAATATAGTAGACTTTTAAATCATTGCCTGTCTTTTAGAAGACTGCTTTGTGGTTTGTTTGATGCCACCGTTAGCTCACAAGAAACTCGTTTTTAGTCACTTATACTAGACTAAAAAGTCCTTTAAAATACGTTGCTTCACTAGTGGTGCATATTTTTTCCATTAAGATCTTAATGAAACCTCAAATTAAGGCAGCAAAATGAATATAAATTTGACAACTTCTTCCATGTTGTTTGTAAGAGCTCCTTTGTTTTAGTAGTTTTTGCTGTTTTTCCATGATATTTAGTTTTTTGTTTTTTTTTTTTGCTGTTCTGAAATAAATATGCTTATAGTGCTTCTAGTTGTAGGGTTATATATGTATTTGGATGAGAATGAAAAATTTAAACCTCCTCTTTAAATGTACATTTTATACAGATATTTTTATTTGAGGTTGCAATATTTATAATTACCCAAGATTTTATGTTTGGTAGATGACAATCTCTATTAATTCTTCATTAAACTGGCTTAGTTCTTTAAATTCATGCTGTTTTAGATGAGTCAGTTTTAAAATAGTGTCTTTCCTTTTGATAACAAAATAAGTAGGAAAACGTTGGAAAGTTAACTGTATAGGCCATCACTGACATTTCATTGATTTTAGACATCCTGGTATAATATATCCATATGTTTGTTTAACTAGGATATTTGCATTTGAATGACCATATTAAAAATATTAAATAATTATGCATGTAACATACTTTTTCAAATACAGAGATTTTAATAAAAATAATTCCAGTACAAGTTATTTTAACTCACTTCTGCTTAAAATACTACAAATAAGGAACAAGTGTTTTTGAGCTCCTGCTATGCATATGGTATTGTGTTTAAGCTACTGCTATTTTTGAATTGATCATCAAGAGAAAAAAATATTATGTAACAGTATGGGCAACAGTAGTCCATTTGAATATATCCTTTACTCATAAAGTATCTTTGTATTAAATGAGGTTAATTTTAAATAAGAATTAAAATTTACATATCAAATTATATTTGAAGTTTTAATTAGCACTCTCTAAGAGTATTGGATCTATAAATGAGTAATTCATTTAAACTAGTTCTCTTAAAAAGATTTTAAAATTTCAAAATTTTATAATTTCATTTTTTGAAGGTAATATTTGTATGTCGAGGTGAATCTTATCTGCCAGATTTACGTAAATCTGTTAGACATTTAAGAATAATTTGTATGAATCTTTTTAGATAGATTATTAATATCTTGATTATTTAAAATATACTTTCAGTTTCCCTCCTTAGGTCTTATTTTAGAAAAAAAAATTTAGAGTGAGAGAAAACTTCTGAATTCTTTTTAAAAGCTTAACGGTAGTGGAAAATACAAAGAAAAAAATATTTTCTTTAACAGGAGGGCATAATACCACCTGTATTTCTTACATCAGTTTTCAGCTGACATATTACTGTACTCTGTGTTTTAGAAAAGAAATGGTCTTCTATCTCATGTTACCCCTTACATGTTTGTGTCCTAAACAAGACACATGACCTCATTGCTGCTTTTCATGTCATCTACAGATATACCATGTACATCCTGCTGTATGCGACATGGTAAAATTATCAAGATGCAGAGTCTTTTCTTATTATTTTTAAGCAGATCTTGTTAGAGTTTTGCATTTTTGTTTCTGTTTGCAGTTTAATGTGGATTACATAATACAGTAACAGTGGGAAAAAACAGACAACTTCAATAGTCTTTTTAAATATTTTTAAAGATCTAATGTTAATTAATATTCCTGTAACTTCTGATGTTCATGAAAATGATTTCACTAACTTTGGTTAGATGATTATGCCTTCCTCATGAGAAATAAAAAAGATTTAAATGTCTGACTTTTAATTTAGCACCTTCTTTGTTTGTTTTGGTTTTTTGTTTGTTTTTCTTTTAAGTTGTTCTCTGGTATCAGGTTTAGTAAATATGATATTTTATGGTCATTATTTTGCCTGGTATCTTGAAAGTTTGGATTCATCCAGTTGTTCCATTACATTCTGTTCAAAAGTTAAGAGAATTTTTCTTTTAATTTTTGAACATGGGTCTATATGTGATGTGCTAACAGGTTAAAAGGGAGTCAAAAGAAGGAATTCTCAACACCAGTATATTTTATTCTCATGTGTAACTATTTTAAGAAATGCATCCATGTAATCAGTTGAATTAAATTTCTGAACCCCCATATAAATTGCAATATTATTTTAGTTATATTATTATATTACTGATTTAATAAATGAATAAGTGAGGGAAGGCCTCTAAATACCCAGAGGAATTATTTTTAAACTTACAAATGTTTTGTAATGGGGTTATTAAGGCCCCTTCAGAGAACAAAAGGATAGGTTGAGAACAAGAAAGAAAAAAAGCTTATTATTGGAATGCTTTCCTGAAAGGATTAGTGGAAATCACATAAATGTTTTTCACAATAAGTAAACATGATTTACAAGACTAACACTTTTTTCTTTCTACTTCACTAAGTATCAGTTTTCAAGACTTTGTCTTTCTTCCAGTAAAAGGACATTTTGAAATAGAAATATTCTGGGACATTGTGGAAAAGTTCATACATGATAATGTCCCTGACATACATTCTTTGGAAAGCCATTCTGCCTCCCCTGCATTCCTGGACTTGGTCTTTTCCAAACTTAGGACAAAGGGCAAACTGACTAAAGTTAACGTTTCTTCCTTTGGGTGTATCAGGTAGAAAATACTTTTTTATAGCATTCCTTTCTTTAGACTGTTTCTTTATACTTCTGAATACATTTAAAGTTTCTATTCCTTGTAAATACTGTAACCATCCCAAATGTATATTTGGTGACAGAAATAAGTTGAGATAAAGGTGTTCATCAAATATGCTCCCTACCCAATAAACATGTCATGTAGCAGGTTGCACGTTAGTTACAGGAATGAAAAGTCTTTTGATTACTTGATTATTTATTAAACTCAAAGTTTTATTATTGGGATTTATTAAGGTCTTATCGGAGGAAAAAGAAGAAATAATGAAGTATAGAAGTGATAATGATAATTCTTTACATTTACCATAGAATACTTACTCTCTACAGGATCTCAAGTTGAAGGCAACTAACAACAACAGCAGAGATAAAGAGCTTATGTAAAATCATACTGTGTTGATACTTTTTAGTTGTGTGTTCACAAATTGAGTTAAATCTAACACTATAAAAGTGTAAGAGATTTTAGCTCTTGACATTGATTAGACTGTAAGCTAATAAAGAAAGAGACAATATGTTTTTATGTCTGAAGACTAAATTGATGTCCTAGCTCATTTCTGTTCTTTATTATTATGTTAGAAATGTGGCCACCCAGTCCAGTAGCAACTATCTTTCAAGTCAGTTAAGGATGCATACTTAGAGAAACATTTCTCTTAAGAAATGGGATACTCACTTGTTTTCTATCTTGTTGCTTATCACGTGAGTTAAAGAAAAATAAACCCAACAAGAATAGCATCCAGTATTTTGCAAAGATCTTTGAATGTACTTTTCTCTAAAGCATTATTGCAGATTTTGTTCCTGTGAGGATAATTTGTATATTGTAGTATAATTGTTCCCTGATGGTGTTTCTAGTATAAGGAGCTGTTGCATAAGGACAGTAAAAGCACGTAGTTACGCAATTGCAAACACTTTTCAAAAAATTCTAGAATGGCTTCCTCCCTCCTCCCAACCTCTCAAAACCCCTCAGGGTTAAAAGTGACTAATGGAAATTTAAAGATGTCAGTTACTGGAATTTATCAGCTTAATGATAGTAGCCAGTGATGAAAATAAAGCTTTTAAAGGAAAACTTACGTTCTAAGGTGTAATACAACAGAGAGTATCATAACCAGAATGAAGGATTCTGATATCTTTGACCTATCAGCGGGAGGATGGATTTTTGTTTGGGTGGAGGGGAGGGTTGCTTCTTGGAGTTAAGTTATTGCGGTTGTGGGAAATGTAACTCTGAAGAAAAAAGTATTTGTAGAACCAGATTCATTTCTTCAGAAAAACATTTTTTTCCCGCCCCAACTATGTCTTCATTCCTTGTCAGTGGAGGTCTGTCTGTCCTGGTAATTTAGGCATGGAAGTGGTTTGTTTGGGGATAGGTGTAGCAATGTGCATTACTGAGGACTTAGTACAGAGGGGAGACTAAAGAGACCAATCACAGTGGCTTCTATTCCAGACTTTTTGCCTTCTCTAGAGGGAAGGTGTCATACCAGAAGGCTTGGGATGTAAGATATGTGGAAGACTATTTCTAACGTCATAAGGAACTGGGAAACTGAGATAATCACAGCAAACTCAGATTTTTTAAAATTAGGTGAGGGCTGTGGGCTATATATAGAAGAGAATTAACACTTGTTGAGTACAATGATATGGGAGGGCAGTGCCTGGGGAGGGTTACATGCTTTATGTAATTCAGTAGTCCTAAAATATGAGCTTTCATCAGCATCCCCTCAAGGGCTTGTTAAAACACAAATTATTGAGCTCCACCCCTAGAGTTTCTGATTCAGTAAATCTAGGGTGAGGCCTGAGAATTTGCATGTCTAAGAAGTTCCCATGTGTTGCTGCTAGTTTTGAGAACAAAAGTAATATGATAATCTTTAAAATAACATTATAAGGCAGACATATCTAATTTTATGTTACGTATTTGTAGTCTGAGCTCTGAGAGGTTAAGAAACTTAACGAAAGTCACAAAGCTGATAAGTGGCAGCACTGGGATTCAAATTCAGGTTTCTTCCTGACTCCAAAAACCAATCTCTTTCCACTCACTATACTTTTTAAAAGATGAAGGAATTAAGGGAAGTGAGTCAAAGAAGGTAGAACTAATGTTGTTTGGCATTGCAGACTGATATGGGAACATTAGAGCTCTGCTATCCATTGTGCACTGACTGCTGGGCTGTGTTCTTGGCCAATGCGCAGCGAGGGTACTTTCTAGTCCATGAATTAGAGAATATAATACCATTTATTTAAGGTGGTTGGAAAAATTGCTAATGAACTTTAGGGTAGCCCTTGACAAATCAGAGGTGAACACAAATACAGAATTTGAAAGAACCTGAAAGGTTGGTATTGGAAGTTGAGGCTATGAAAGCTTACTTGGGGGCAAACAAAAAGTAAAGAAAGTACTTTTATGGTAGTTATTTGAAATAAGAGTAGTTAACTAAATGTGTGCTCAAACATACGAGAAACAAAAGATTTATGTTTGAGAGGCTTTTTCAGACATAAAAAACCAAATCCGTTGCCATTGAGTCGATTCTGACTCATAGTGACCCTATAGGACAGAGTAGAACTGCCCCATAGGACTTCCAGGGAGTACCCGGTGGATTCGAACTGCTGAGCTTTTGGTTAGCAGCCATAGCTCTTAACCACTACGCCACTAGGGTTTCCATTTTCAGGCATAGGCTGTCGATATTTAACTCTGCCTTAGTCTTTTCTTTGAAAAATAAATACGTCATTTTTACAAATGCAAGAAGAAAAATGAATAACAGACCAGTGAATATAATTGCTTATTATTAGGTCTTCTCCCCATACATTGTCCAATTCTACATAGTATTGTGGCTGAGACAATATTCAGAGTTTCATTCTGTCATCCGGTGGTTTTCAGTCATGTTGTCTTCATTCACCTTTATTGTTAATCCCACACTGGATATATCAAAGTCAAATGATAAACCATTTTGTTATTGTGAGATGCTTATGCTGGTTTTGTTACTCCACCTTGAAATCTCCAGGGGAATTTTATCCATCTGAAAATAAGTGACTTGGATTTCACCAGCATATATCTCAAAAAGGAGTTAATTTTTATTTATCAGGAAAATTGCTTTCCTGATAAGACATGGAACTTTAAACTAATTTTACTTTTATTCCAGAACACAGTCACACTTCACCAGTTATTACTTAAGGCAAAATGTATGTCAGCATTGGAGGGTTTAAATTTTTAGGGATGGGATTTAAAGGATAATCTGTCATTTGCTAGAAGACTGATTTCACTGTAGTAATTTTTTTACTGTCTTTTTTTTTTTTTTTTTAAGCAAAGTTAAACCACCTCCTCAAATTTCACCCAGCAAATCGATGGGCGGAGAATTTTGCGTGGCTGCTGTCTTTGGAACATCCAGATCATGGTTTGCAAATAATGCAGGTCTGAAAAGAGAAAAAGGTATGTATTTTTACTGAAGTTCAAACTTGCCATTTGTAATTTTTACTTCTTGAGGAACATTACTAGCAGATACCCTTTGAATAGTCCTGAACCCAATACTCTGGAACCCAAATTTTACATTCAATTAGCATGCCTCTCCTTAACTACTTAAGCCTAGTCAAGAAGGAAAGCTACCTTATAACTATAAACATGAAATGAATTATCCAGTTTGTGTTATTGCTTTGTTACATTGGTGAGTCTACAGGTGCTCTCAACACTATGTATAAGCTTTTACATTTTTACAAGCCAATATCATACCACTGTCTTATTTAAGCTTTACAAGAACCCTTTGAAATATGGAGAGAAAAGCCCACGTTACCCCTGTTTTAGAGATGAAGAACTTGAGATAAGCGAGTTTAAATATCTTTGCTAAAATACTAGTTAGTATGTAATGGAATCAGAGTTTGAACCCAGGTCTTCTAATGCTAAATCCTGCCTTTAAACAACAACAGCTCCGCTGGATTATAAATTAAAAGATAAAGACAGGCTGCCATTGAGAAATAAGGGACATCTTTCATGGTTCGGAGCCCTGGTTGCACAGTGGTTAAGCGTTTGGCTGTTAACCAAAAGGTTGGCAGTTCGAATCCACCAGCTGCTCCTTGGAAATGCTATGGGGAAGTTCTACTGTGTCCTCTAGGGTCACTATGAGTCAGACTCCACTCGACAGCAGTGCATTTGGTTTGTTTTTTTATGGTTACCACTATTCTTTGAATTGATACAGTTGTTTTTGTTCTTATCGGTGCTTTGATCACCAGGGTCAATACTTGAAACGTTTATATAATTCCTGTTTTAGTAGGTAATTACTTATTGTTTCTATATACAAGAAGGAGCCCTGGTGGTACAGTGGTTAGAGCGATCGACTGCTAACCAAAAGGTCGGTGGTTAGAAACCACCAGCAGCTCTGAGGGAGAAAGATGTGGCAATCTGCTTCCGTAGAGATTTACAACCTTAGAAACCCCATGGGGTCGCTATGAGTAGGAATCAACTTGATGGCAGTGGGTGGATACATACAAGAGGATGTCTACATTCATAAAGCAGGTATATAATTTTGAAAATTATAATTTTCCCTTCATTATCTTAGTGCTATTAAAGTAGATCACAAACTGGTCTGTTAGTGGGACGCTTCTCTGACTAGTTCCACACGCTGCATTGTTCTTGGCAAAGTGGCTCTCCTTTATACTTCATACTGGCAGTCAGACATCAACCCTTTCCCTTCTTATCGCCTTTCAATGACTGTTTCCTTGGTAATAGGATCTCAGGTACAGCAGGTTTCTTACCTGTGTGGGAGAGGACAAGTAAATTATGCAAGCCTTCCATTTCCTTATCCCATCTTAATTTTTTTGTTACTTCCTTAGCTTTAGTGATGCTATCGAAAGGACTTTTTGTTACTAGCTAAAACCTTCTCTGAAGCTCGATTTCAAATGCTTCTCCCTTCTGTTCTAATTACCCTTTTAACTTGCTAATCTTTTATATTCCCCTGGCTGGTCATTAGCCATTTTCTCAAATCAGCTGTAATTGATTCGTCTGGCATAGCGATAAGGTGACCCACCCAGCATTCATGAGTGATTTTATATTTTCCTAGGTTTACTGTAAAACTTGAGATAGAGGACAAAACCTGTTTTGGTAGTTAGGACATGTGTATTCCTTATAAAGTCATTTGATTAGATCCATATTCAACAACTGATCTCTCAAAGTATGGCCGATCTTCATTTACCATATGGGGGGGGCAGGCGGTGATCCCAATGAGAGAAAACAAATAAGAGGATTGGGGGGAGGAACACATAACGTTTTTTGTTTGTATGTTTGTTTTGATCCAGAAATTTAAAAGGGAAACTTTTCTAAGGGAGAGATGAAAAGTGAGGTGGATTTAGGAATATAGGAAGCCTTCCACGCAGTTCAGTTGGTACCCGGTGTAACTAAAGAGTCGTCTATATAGCACTGCCTTCCTTGTTTCACCTAACGTTGTTTTCATAACGTGGGACAAATTACACTGCAGAGAAATACAAAAGACTATAAACTGTTGTTTCACTATAGTAGAATTTTGAGCATATTGACATCTTTTTTGAAATAAATGGTTTAAGATTTGAAAATATTTTGATAACATAGAGATTTTCAAATCTATCAGCATCTACTTAGAAGAGGCAAACGTTAGGCAAGCACCAGGCACCATGTGAAAGACTCCTCGCCTTCTCGTTTTCTCTGACCAGCCTTAGGAGCAGACTGACAAAGTCAATAACTTGTGAAAATGATGACTGTGCTCCTTTTTTGCCATCGCCGCACATCCAGGCTCTGCTTCTCTTTCTCGTAGATCAGTCAAAACAAGTTGTAGTTGAATCTCTCTACATTATCAGCTGCTATGGGACCTTAGTGGAGCACATGATGGAACCTCGACCCCTCAGCACTGCCTCCAAGATTAGCGATGACACCCCACTGGAAATAATGACATCACCTCGAGCCAGCTGGACTCTGGTCAGGTAGTACCTCCTTTTTTTCTTAACAACTTTATTGAGGCATAAATATTAAAATAAATTGTACAATTGTGTAAGTTTTGACATCCGTATACACCTGTGAAACCGTCACTACAATCAGTGTAATAAACATCCATCACCCCTGAAAGTTACCCCTGAAAGTTTCCTCATGCCCCTTTGTAATCTCTTTCTCCTGCCCTGAGCCTCAGGCAACCACTAATCTTCTTCCTGGCACTAGAGATTACTTTGCATTTTCTAAAGTTTTATATAGATGGAGTCATGCTGTATATACTCTTTTTTGTCTGACTTCTTTCATCCAGTAAACTTATTTTGAGATTAGTCCATGTTGTTGCATATATCAATAGTTCATTCCTTTTTTTAGTTGAGATACAATTCATGTACCATAAAATTCACTCCTTTAAAATGAATTTTCACAAGTGTGTGCACTCATCACCACAATCAATTTGGGAATATTTTCATCATCCCAAAATGAAACCCTTACCCATTAGCAGTCACTCTCCATTTCCCCCCAACCCTCCAGCTCTAGGCAATCACCAATTTACTTTCTGTCGCTATGGATTTGCCTATTCTGGCCAGGCTATAGCATACAATATGTGGTCTTTTCTGTCTGCGTTTTTTTTTTTTTTTTCCCCCACTTAGCATAATGTTTTTAAGGTTCGTCCATGTTGTGGTATTCTTTTTTATGGCTAAATATTATTCCGTTGTATGGCAATACCACATTTTGTTTATCCATTCAAACTGATGAACGTTTGGGTTGTTTCTTCTTTTTTGAGTATCATGAATAATGCTGCTATTAGCATTTGTCTATAAGTTTTTATATAAACGTGTTTTTAGTTTTCTTGGTTATATACCTCGGAAATTACCTCCTTTTGAACTTTTTTCTCCCTTGATCCTTTCTATTACCTTCCCTTAGACTTGTTTTTCCATCCCACATACTGAGCCACAGTGCTTCCCCTATTTCCAGTCTCATGCTCACCAGAAAATACACAGTAGCATGGAGGCAGCCCTTAAGGGGAATAGAAATGAATATAAATAGGTTAGAATGTTTCCTTTGAAGTGATTCCCCAAGATAACAATGGTTAAGCACTGTAAAAGTGTTTATTAAGGATCAGAGTCCTTCCCAAAAGTGCATAATGATTAGAATCTTTACAAGCTAGCACAAAGAGAGAGAAGTAAAAACCTGGAAACAGCTTAAGATAGTGCATTGTCTAGCAGAGACAGAAAAATTGCTCCTGACGTGTATGGAAGGAAACAGACAAAAATGGATATGAAAATGATCCTTCTGATTTTTTACATTTTAAAATATTCTTATATTGATTTTTGGAGGCTCCAGCATTCTTTACTACTACTTTACGGCTTTTGGATTGATTTGATCAATATCTGATTTATCAAGCTATTTAGGAGTGAGCAGATCTAATTAAAATTACAGCACCGTCATTGTTGAAGTGGGTGGTTTATTTTGGAACTCAGATGCTAATTAGGTCTATAATAAGTCATCTATTTACACAGCTGTGGGCTTTTAAAAAATTATTTTTACCTGCTTTGTTTTCTCTTAAAATATACATGTATTCTAAAAATAGAGTTTTAACAATGATCAGAAATTAGGTAAAATTACTTAGTTGTAACATTTCAATTACATACACTCCATCCAATCTTCTGACTGTTTTTTTCCTATTGGAGAGTCTTCTGCTATTAGGTTAATATCAGCTACATGTAATTTGTCTGGCTCACTACCACCTTTTTATTATTCTTAAGCAGATAGCCTTGTGTTTCAGGTTTCAGCATTCCAACAAGTTCATTTTAATGATTACACAGATTGTGTGAGTTTATATCAGTGTCTGTAAATGATGACAATGATGGTGACTTACATGCCATCTATTAAGCTTAAATATTAATATTCTTCTGCTGTTTCCTTAGAACCCCTCAATGGAATGAATTGCAACCACCGTTTAATGCAAACCACCCTCTGCTCCTTGCTGCAGATGCAGTACAGTATTATCAGTTCCTGCTTGCTGGCTGTAAGTAGTTCTGATGGTTTTTTCCCTTCCATATGGTGTTTTCAGATTTCATCTTCAAATGCTGACTTTTAAAGCAGCCATGCACATTAACACTGTCCATAGGCCAGAGGCCTTAAACAATCAAGCTCAGGCAAGTAAAATATTTAATACAAATGTAAACCATAAGCCTTAGCACGTGTTACAAGTGGCTTCTGGCTGCTGTTATTCTCATTAATGACGTAGGTAAATTGATAGGCAATATCTGATGAGATAAAAAATTAAAATGAGGATACTAGCGTATAATAAACAATTTCTTAAAGCTTGATATCTATTTCTAACATGAGAAAAACTGAAGAACTTTTTCACCACAAAAACTGTTGCCAGCAGGTTTTTCTTTTTATAGACTTTTAGTAATGCAGTAATGATTGAAAAAGAAGTTTTGTCTTTATTTATATGGTAACTCCATTGCTTTTTTATTTGTTTCTTTAATATCTAAGTGGTAACATTGGTAGAGGCTGAACCAGGTTCTTTTTTACTTAAGGAGAAAATGTCCATTAAGCGAGATATAACCATTATTGTATGGGAGCATTAAAAGACAATTTGATATTTATTACCTAGTTTGTGGTCATAGAATTAAAAATACTTTACAATTATATTCAGTTTTTTAGAATGGACTGGATCTGTAATTTAACCTGATGGCTTGAGTACTACATGTTTTTAAGAAACTTATTATCTTTCCTGGCTGTATTATAAAGCATGAATTAAAAGCTTTCTAGAACTATTGTATGTAATGTTTATAATGTGTTATATAGTATATTGGAAACAGATATGAACTGTAAAAAGATCTATGGTTAAGAAACTCCATAATTATAATAATAAATAATCAGGAGTCTTGCTTTCTCATTCAGCTAAACTCACTGATTCTTCCCAGCAGGTGTTTATTGAGTGCCTACTATGTGTCAGACATTTGTGATTAAAGATAAATAGTTTATTGCTCTGTCCTCAGTGAACTCAATATTTAATTCAGGAGACAGGCATTTAATAGAAGAAGTAAAATACAATGGGGTAGGTGCATCAGTGAAGGGTTATACAGTGAGCTATGAGAGCAATGACTTAAGTTGCCAAAGGCTTCACAGAGGGGTAATACATAATCTGAGGCTTAAAGGACAATTGGATTACCTCAGATAAAGAACTAGGAGAAGAATGGGCATTTCAGGCAGAGGGTAGAGCATATGCAAAAAGAGGTTGGAGCAGGAGTGGTAGATTAGAAGCAGGCGCGTAGGACATGCGTGGAATTTGGACTTGATTCTATAGGCCAGTGGTTCTCCATTGGTTTAAGAAGGAGAATACATAGAAGTTGTTAGAGTCTAGGTTACCTAAGCATATATTTAACTCTATCATATGAACTGGACAAAAAATGACTTGTATATGATATCATATTAAAACTATGAGCACATTTTCTACTACCTCTCAAAATGGACAAAAATTAACCAATTGTTGAATTAAGCATAGTTGACTCTTTCAGAGTTAATATTTGTTTTCTTTGTTTTGTTATTTTGAGATATGTTGGGTGTTTTTAGTAGACAAACAGTAGGAAGTCCCAAAATATTTAAGAATGCAACTGTCTCTATCCCTTAATTTTTTATTCTGATAAATTAAGCTGATTGCCATTATTTGATTTCTGCTCCTCCAAACACCTTTGATAAATTCTTAGAACAACAAAAATCCCCAGGTGCATAGTTTAAGAACTACTATAGGCACAACTGATTCTGACTCTGTGATTCTGACTGTGTTGTAATATCTGTTATGTAAGTGACAGACATACTAAATGTAATTAATAAGTTTTCTCATCCTCGTGAATGTTATTCTAGACATAATTTAATAGGTAAAAAAAAGAAAACCTACAAGACAGGTAATTCTGTAATAATTATTATATTGCTTCTTTACATCAGGGGGTAGAGATACAAATTAGCCTATGTTTTAAAATTAGGTCCTCTTACATAAAAGGCACATGTTAAAGCAGACTATTTGATTGACAGTCCTGAACATGCCAGTATATTACGTGACTGAAGCAATTAAATATGCAAAACACGGACATCTGGGTCAGAGGAGTAAAAGCCTGAAATACAATTTGTAAAAGCAGTGCTGGCACCAGTTTAGAGAGAATGCCTTTACCTGCCTATCTGTTGCACGCTTTCTGCAACTGAGAACCTCTGTAAGAAGACTTTGTCATTATTCTCTCGCTTTCTGTCCAGTTCTCCTCACTGAAACCATTTGAAATGATTATCATGACCTCTTAAAACAAGAGCATACTGTTCCTGGTACCAAAAACTTTTTTGCTTTACTTAACCATATTGAAAATCACCTCTTATTTCCCAACTTAAAGACTTTCTTTTTTTTTTTTTTTTATTGTACTTCAGGTGAAGGCTTACAGAACAAATAGTTTCTCATGAAACAGT